TTAATTTTGTGTGTTGCTAGTGTTCTCTTTATCCGTTCGGACATCCCTTTAACATACGGAATACCTATCGAACCTCTGGCCTTTTCCATTTTATCTTTAGTTTGGCGTTCATTGATGTTTGATGCTTTATTCTTTCTTCTATTAAAAACTTTCTTAAATGCCCATTTGGGATAGTTACAATTGTGTAGTGTTTGTTTGATGTTTTCCATTTCGTGATGTTTGTCTTCTTCTGTTGTAACCTGTCTCTTATACACATCTAGATGTGTATAAGAGACAGGTGTTAGGTTTGTGACACTATATTAATACTACCGTGCGCACGGACGTTAAGACGTATGTGTACACATTCGTAAGTCCTTAAAATGCTCAAAATTACTCTTTTCCTTTAAAATTCCTTTTAAAATGCTCAAAATTAATCTTTAAATAGAGCATGTTTTAGCATATAATACTTTTCAATCAGAACTGCGCGTGCTTCGTGAGGGTCAAAGTACGGCGGATCACCTAACTCGTCCTCAGTGACGAGTTCAAATCTAGTTTAGTATTAGTATTTAGTATTAGTATTTAGATACGCTATTCATAGAAAACTATATCATAGCGTTTACAGAGTTGAATAATGATTTGAAGCAATAAGCTCAAGTTAATTTTGAATAGACCCCATAATGAAACAACACTGATTCCTTTGTGTTCAAGTCACTACATTTAAGAATAAAGTAACATTGGTTTCTGAGTGAAAAAAAAATGATCAATCTATTTATAAAGTGGCTAAGAACACTTTCTCTCTATCAAATATATTTATGTGAGAATTGACTTAATTGCACATCAAATCATTTTTTGTATTAAACAAAAATATGGAAAGAATAGGGTCCCAGCAGGAGCATGTGCTTACTGCCTATTGCTGTACATTACTGTATCTCGAAAAAATACCACGATCTAGCAGGCGTCCATAAAAAGGGGTTGGAATTAAACCTGTGCTGCATCTTTATGATGTACATTCAAGTTTCGAACTCCATTCGTTTTCTAATAGGGCGCCCCCCCCCTACCTCGTGATGTAGTACCCATCATGCACCCCCACCGGATTTACTAGATACAGGGTTAACTGAGAAACATAGTGTCTATGCTAAACTGGTTTTACAATGCACTCAAATTGCCCATTGATTTTGATATATAATGTCTATACAGAGAAGGAATAATAAAGACAAAATGTGTTTTAACAGTAGGGTAGGATTTAATATCAGATTAACCATGATAAAACATATAATTTCTACTCAAAGTGAATAGACCCCAAATTTGAATTACCTACTGAACATTTTTAACAATGGTAAATCTTTCGCAAGGGTGGGGAAAACGGTTTGGGTTCTCCATTACCAAAGCACCTAAGGGATCCAGACTACACTTTACTCAAGATGGTAACACTTATATACTTTCTATAATTATATTGTAATCTGTTGAATACATAAATAACTGTAGAAGGTTTCACCACACCCTTTTGTCATCTGTACTTAGGAAGCTACGATATGGTGGGTGTTCCAGGGCCCAAGGTCACCCTTGCAGCAGCGCTGATGATGGAAAATTGTCTGTTAAGTCGGGCAGATAACCTAATGTAGACTTCCTAGTAATTATTAAATGGGACTGAAAGTGCAAGACATGTCTATGATGGACTATCAATCATCTTGTAAAAATCAAGTAAAAATGAATAATTTCAAAAAATATGTGGGTGGATTTTCAATTAATTTGCATATTTTTCCATAAATATTATGATCATTCATCATAATTTAGAGCTACAAGTGCTAATTTCACTACCTTGAAAAAAGTTTGAATAATTTGGCAAACAATCCATAATTTGCATAATAAGAATACAGTACACCTACCTTTTCCAAGAGTGTGTGACTTGCAAATAGTTGCCAGGACATCAAAGCATTTCTTGCTCAATTTTGCTGAACCAATAAGGGAATGTGTAAGTGAGTTAGTTGCATTCTCTCCTTGTAGGCATTGCAATAGTTTGACAAGTATAGCACCAAAAATCTCCATCTCTTTATGGGTTAGAGGCATCTAAATGGTAAAATAATAACAATAAGTATTAACCCTAACATTATAAAAGCATAGGAATTATTAAATAACATTAATATAAATTAAAATTAATATTAGCATTAATATAGCCCCTGCTGCCATTAACCAAAAGGTCCACTGATTAATCTCAGATGGTATTAAACATACTCCAAGTATTGTAATACACTCAGGATTCAATATTTCAATCATTAACTATGTCATCACTAGGAATGAAAAATTATCCATTTTTACAAGCTTATATACAACAAATACCAAAAGTGTCTAACCAATCAGCATTAGTAGATATTAGTATATAAGCCCAAGGATGTTCAACAGGCTGGGGTGGGAGGGGGGGTGGACATACCCCAACCCCATGGCAGCAAATTAGTTCCACTATGTGGGTTAAAATGCTAAAAATGACCATTAAGTTGTCATTGAAATAGGGATTTAGTTGTGCATTCGGGGATTTAGTTCCCCATACTCATTTTCACCCACCTCCCAGCCCAAAACCAGCCTACACCCCTATTGAATATTACCTTATTTGTCAATGAACTTTTATGAGGTTGATTTATTATTGTTGATAATTCCACAAATCATATATTTATATCAATCGATCGTAACTATATATTTTCTCATTTTAAACAATTGATTTTAGCAACCAATATATAAAATGTATTCAACGTTATATTAGCATGACAGAGTTGTGGGAACAATTAACACCCAGGAGTGGATGCTATTTGGGTGTTTGAACCTCTCTGAAAATGATGGCTACAATGCAACCACCTACACCAAAAAAAAAGAAGGCCGAATATGAACACCAACCTGTTTTGCATAATCCAGCATCGAGTTGAGCGATAAAGACACCAATGCCAGGCAAGTAGGCTTGCCATGTCGGCAGGCATCCCCGAACACCTGCAGACAAACCTCATCAATAGGACCAAAAACTTCGCTGTTGTCATTATCATGTTGTATCACCAGTACAATTGGTAAAATCACAAATTTGAAGTGCTCTTCCTTCTTGGCGCTATTAAAAGAAGATTGACTTTGATTTTAAATTAAGATTCAAATTCAGATTATCCATTATTGTCCTAACTTTTGTAGAAGCGGTTGGCTTGGACTCAAAACCTCGAGGTCGGGGGTTCGAAACTCTCGCTGTGCAAATCGCTAGTGTCCTTGGGCAAGGCACTTTACCTACAGTTGCCTCTCTCCACCCACGAGTACAAGTGGGTACTTGGTAGGTTCCAACACAAAATTGATAAAACTAATATCAATAATAATATTATTAAAAGTATAATGTTTTCAATGCAAATTATAAATAATAATAATGTAATTTTCTCAATCATATTGTTTCTTTTTTAATTAAACTATTGTTCAACAATTTTAATGTAATTATTCAAATATTAAATGTTATACATACTTTTATTGTCATTACTGTGCAGTGGCTTCATTTTTGGTTGTGTAATTTTCCTTAATTCTATTGTTAGTTAATCCTTTTTGATATATTACGTAATTCATAATTCAGACTTTGTGGCTGCAATGTTTTATGTTTTTAATGATTTTTGATTGAATAAATACCATAATAGAAAGTACAATATACACATATATCTGTATGGGCCTAGGCAAAAGCACTAATATTGTGTCAACATTAACAAAATATAATGTTATTCAGTGTAAACATTTGTGTAAAGATAACACATGCTCCCGCATTAAACAGATAAATAATATTTACACATCGGTGCTTGGTTGATTATTCTATTTGCAAAATCAACCACAATAAATTTGATACAAAATAATACTGAAAATCTATATGGTCAGGAGAGAGAATTTTAAGGGATTGCAAATGCATCATTTAAGCATGAGCTTTAAATAGATACTGTACCTGCCTATTCCTAACATCAGTGTAAAGGAAGTCATCCTGCCCCCTCCCCCTCTGTTCTTGTTGAGGCCATTATATGGTTTACATGTGCCTCGAAGACATAAGGATGTATTCACCACTCTCTGTCTGTCTGATTACGCAAAAACTAATGAATAAATCATCATAAAAATAAATGGAACGGTACATATATCAAAAGAGACCATTCAATTTTCGGAAAATGTCAAAGAACAGGGTCAAGATCATGGAAATTAAATTTTTTACCCTGAGCATTAAAGAAAACAATAGTCCCATATACATGGCCATAATATTGTTCAATATGCAGAAACAGGGAAGAAAATAATGGATTTGCCAATCATACACGACCTGCGTATTGTTCGGTATTCATGCATAGGGTGGAGGTATGCACTCTACGGAGTGACTGCTCTCAATTTTGGGAAGAAAATGTCAAAGGTCAAGGTCAGCAAATTCAATTATTTTACCATGATGATAAAGGAAAATAATGGAACGGAGTGATCACTCTTAATTTTGGGAAGAAAAGGTCAAATGACAAGGTCAAAGAAATTGAATTTTTTACCCCGAGCATAAAGGGAAAAATTGAAATGGCTCCATACATGGCCTGGCTATTGATCGGTATTCAGGAACAGGGAAAAAAATAATGGATTCGCAATCACACACGACCTGCGTATTGTTCGGCATTCATGCACAAAGCGGAGCCAAGTACAGTATACACACTATGGAGTGACTACTCTAGTTTGGAAATTTAATAGTGCAGAGAGCATTGGGTTAAATGACAGTCCTGTTGTCTGAGAATGAAATTAAAATAAATAAAAAATACATGAAGTAAAGGAGTAAATTCCTCTTGAATAAATTACTCCTGATATGAAAACCAGATGAAATGTTTTTGAAAATTACATGAGCCTTATAAATAAATCATTAGTGCATTAGAGCAGTGTTTATGTGCACCAACACGTGTACTTTCGGGTTGACTGCGTGTGCATTAAAATTAATTGAGATTTCAGGATTTCCAAGAGATGTCTATAATCCGATGTTTGCTCTAATGCGTGCATTAACCATCCGATTTTCAGCGAACTAAATCTTAATCAAAACCCTACACACAGGTTGGCTAGTCGTAAAGTTAATCCTCTCACTTAACTCTTACAGGCGGATGATATCAAAATTAAGTACTACTACTTCTGAAATATTTAATGCCAATGTATCAGTCTATGTCTAAAATGTAGATTATATCAAAAATAAAATAAAACATGTTTCACTAAATGATTACCCTGAAAACAGATACATTTTTGAAATATTTAATGTGAATGTACGATGTTGGTTGATCTGAGCAGAGCTATGTTCAGACGACCTGACCCACATTGAGGGGACAAACAGAGAATGGTGATGAAGATGATGATGTGCATCTGGCTATGTAAATTCAATAAAAAATTTTAAACAATATATATGTTTAATAAATGATTTGTGTTTTGATGTACCTCACAACTTTAAATCATGTTTTAGTCTATTGCTTTCATGAGATAGATTACACACATCAGTTATGAGTGATTTATATACTTTAATCCTCCAGCCAGACAAAAACATTATTGTTGTTGTATGGGGATGTTATCTATACCTTTTTAACAGCATATTTTAACAAATAAGTCTTAACTGCCAGGAAATGGCTTCGACAGACAAATTATGTGATGAAAACAGAATGAATGTTTACAATATTTCATTAGAAATTCTAGGGCAGATGCGGGGGAGGGGGGTTCAGGTGCTGATAGTGCGAGTGCACCACCTAGATTGTATTAAGAAAAATAACTGTTGTATTGTATTGTTGATATGAATTACCGGTAAGATTTTTAAGGTATGAGAGTGCAATTTCTGGGCACCTAAGAGGTCCATATTCTCAAAATGTTCTGAGCCCAGCCCCAGCCATGGTGGTGCAGACTCTCGCGTACCCCCTACAGCCAAATCCTGCATTCGCCCAAAAAATTGTTTGAATTATGGAATAATTATCAACATTTTAATATTAATTAAAATATTTTTAAACCTTGCACTGCAAACCTTTTTTATGAACATTTTCAATGTAATTGTTGGTGTTTAATGTTTGGCAGTCTCTTCTTCTCTTTATTGTGCCATTATTCAGAATGTTTAGTCTGCATCAGAAAGCATATAACCACTGATCAATCACATTCTGTCTGGATAAGGAGTCTACTGGTTTTTGATTAGACAACTGGAGGCACCATATTAAAGCAAGTCAACTTGAGAAATACAGTAAGCTGGCTAATGAATAAGTTAATGTTTGGAACGGCAGTAACATTGTGTCTACGCAAGTGTGTAACTTTCGCAAGATGAATTTCCACAATCTATTGGTGAATTATTAACGACCTCGTTTATAGTCAGTTTGTCGAATTTGCTTGCGAGTTTTTTCAAGTGGAACAGAACAGCTTCAGCTTGGTTTCCCTGAGGAAATACACACAATGTCCGCAAATTTCAGCCACAATTCAATCAAATTTTATGAAGATGTTATCTGCTACACTGTAGACAATGCTGCACTATTTGAATATGCTGAAGCCCTCTACTGACCCATCTTTACAACGACATGCTGTCAGCTGTTATCCAACATCTCATCTGTTACCATTGCACATTCCAAAGCCCAGCTGTCCAGACTATCAAATTTTAATTTGGCAAAAAAAACATGTGACATGCCTATATATGGTCATGATGACATCACATCATGACCATATATAGGCATGTCATGACATATATGGGCATACAACAGTTTTTGTTAAATAAAATTTCTGATAGTCTGAAATGTACTTAATATATCTATTCATTATTGCAAAAAGGTTTTTCAAAGCAATTTGTTCTGCAGAATGCAGCTGAATGGTAACAATAATTCAAAGATTAAAATACAAAAGAAAAACCACACACAATAGAATGATAATATCCAAAATGATTTAAATACAAAAAGTATAAAATGTAGTGTAGGTGAAGTGATGGTAAGATGTTTCCAAACCTCGAGGTTGGGGTGTCAATCGTTCGCTGTGCATTGCACTTGTGTCCTTGATCAAAGCATTTTATCTGAATTGCTTCTTCTCTATGCAGGAGTACAGTATAAGTAAGTACCTGGTAGGGTTAAATGCCAAAATGCGCTGAGGTAGCTGCTGCAGTGTTATGGATTTTATAAGGAAGAAAAATACCATACAAGATCCTATTATGGTGCCAAATTATGGAATAGTCTTGAAAGTGCAGTTCAAAATGCAACAAAAGTTTATTCATTTAAACAGTTGTTACCCAATTGTGTTAGGTTTTGAATTCGTTTATGTTTACTTGTATAAAAATTGTTCAATTTCTATGGTATTTCTCATTAGTATATAGTACGGCCTTGTAGAACATCTTCAAGTGATACAAGCATTTCCATGTTTAAACAAAGCCTGTACAGGTATTATTATTATTATTAACCAGGAAATCTTATTCTATCTTATCAGTACGTACCACAATACTTGCCAAAACAAATCTCGCAAGAGATTTGGGTGGGAATCAAACCCATGACATCCAGACAACTAGCCTAGTCTTAACCAATATAGAAAGGAATATTGTATTTTCGATGTACCAGTTGAAATGAATTAATACTATACAGAGTTAAATAATTTGAAATAAATTACATTTGCAATTTATGCATCGTCTATCCATCAGGAAGCATTAGGATTATTTATGGTTATTTAAAAAGCTTAGGTTCCTCTGAGATTACACAAGGAATCTCAGTTTTTATTACCGGAACTTTCTTAAAAAACGTCTGATGATTTAGTATAAATGCAATGTTCTAGTGTTTCTCTTAAGCTACACAGCTGAGAATTATAAAACGGAAGTCACACTGTAGTTTTTCACTCGATTACACTCTTGTAACTTGAGCATTCCATAATTCCCCATCTGGATTTGAAGAAATTTCTACAAATCTCTATCAAAGTTCAACCATTTGTAAAATTACATAACTGTAAATGGGGGGGGGGGGGTAAATGTCCCTAACGAGAGCAAAGTGGGCGTGGTCGGGTGTTGCTCAATGTTTTAAAATTGGTCCAGGGTTAGACTAAAATAAAGTTTATTAATAATGTGGAAAATACATAGGCCTATAATTTTCTCCCCGACAA